GATAATTAAGTAAAACCTTATCCAAGGATATTTCTTTCATAGTTCTATTTATTAACCCTTAGCTGGTAATTGAAAACATTTTCAGCAACACAATTGTGCATAGTAAAAATCCTCTACCTCTGCGCCATCTACTGCCTTCATCCTGAGGTAAAAAAAGTACAGGATGTTATTTCATTAAATGTTTTACAAAACCTAATTTTGTGTTTACATGTCTACCTTCAATCAATTAAAGTTTTTATTTCTATCTAATAGGTCAGTGGAAGATATTTTATTAACGAGACATAATATACGCAGCGTATTACTAATAACTTCTAATAAAATTAAGCTATTTTAAACAAAACAACAAGTAATACGTATTGAAGCTAATTCTGTAAAACAGACTAGGTGTAGACAATACGATAAATTATTACACGAGAAAAATAAAACATATGATGAGAATCAGTTATCGTCTGGGCGATATCGCTATATAACGATGTCCACCGATAGATCAACGTAAATTTGTGGAATTATAACACTAAAATCTGTGGTTTGATTCCTCGCAATTGGACAGAGCTCAAATAGCCCATTATGAACCTTTGCACTTATTACGACAGCGGAAGTCACGTGACTCTGCTGGTGCGTTTGACGCTGGTAGCGTGCGTGAAATTTCTCGAAGGATCATGAAGGCCCGAGTGCATTCGAGACGCCCTCTTTTTAGTATATAAGCCTGGCGAGAAAAACCAACGGGATTGAAGACATTGATTGAAGAGAAAGATAATTGAGTCAAGCGAACAGTAGGCACCTTAAGTAAAGTGTGTGTATCGCTGTGATTTATAGCGTGTGTTATAAAGATTGTTAAGTTTAAAGTGACTGTGGAAATTCTGTGTATTACTAAAATTTTATCGAAAAAGAATAAACTAGTTTTAATTAAGAAAGGACTTGTATCGCTGAAGTTTCTCGGAAGGAATTTCTAAAGGAAATTAACAAACAAGCAAATAGGTAACAAATTGGTGTCAGAGTGTGAGACGGAAGAAAAAGAAAGATGGAAACGAGAAGTGGCAAATCAAACTACGACTTAGCAGATTTGATTGCAGCAATACAAGAACAGCAAAAGAAATAAGAAGAACCAGAAAAGAAACAAGAAGAGAGATTACAGCAGTTGTTGGAGGAAAGAGAAAAGAAACGAAGAGAGACAACAGCAGTGGCAAGAAAACCTGCAACATTGGCAGCTCCAACAGCAACATAAACAATAAGAGAGATTACAGCGGTTGTTGGAGGAAAGAGAAAAGAAACGAAGAGAGACAACAGCAGTGGCAAGAAAACCTGCAACAGTGGCAGCTCCAACAGCAACATAAACAATAAGAGAGATTACAGCAGTTGTTGGAGGAAAAAGAAAAGAAACAAGAAGAGAGATTACAGCAGTTGTTGGAGGAAAAGAAAAGAAACAAAAAGAGAGACAACAGCAGTGGCAAGAAAACCTGCAACAGTGAAAGCTCGAACAGCAAAATAAACAAGGGAGGTTACAACAGTTCTTGGAGAAAAAAGAAACAAGAAGAACGAGAAAATAAACAAGAAGAGAGACTACAGCAGTGGTTGGAGGAGAAAGAAAACGAACAAGAAGAGAGACTACACCAGTGGTTGGAGGAGAAATAAAATAAACAAGAAGAAAGTTTCCAACAGTTGAAAGAAAGCCAGCATACACAAATGGAAAAAATTAGTAAATTTCAAAGTGAATTAAATACATTAATGGACGATTTACTGTGTTTTACACAGGGATGATATATTAACCATGGACCTAATCAGCCCTCAGACAACAGGAAGCCCCTTCAAAACCCCGCAGCTAAACCCTAATGCAGACATCTACAGTCCTGCCAGAAGTCACATCCCAGACATGAGTGTCAGTAATAGGGGTGATCTAGTACGAAGAAAGCCACAGGAATTCGATGGGAAGGCACCTTGCGAAGCATATAGAGCACAATTTGAGCTACTGGCAGAAATGAATGGATGAACAGAGGAGCAGAAAGCAGTGTACCTGGAAACGAGCTTGGTAACTGCTCTAGAAATCAGGTATGGAACTCAAAATCAGTCCGAAGTCTACAGGGCTAGGTTTAGGACGAGAGTCCATGCTAAAGGGGAGAGCCTGCAAGAGCTGGCACCACCCGATGTCCTCAAGCTGTTGCTGAGGGATCAGTTTGTAGACGCCTTGGACCGTCCACAACTGAAGATACAAGTAAAGCAAGCACACCCCTCTACTATGCAGGATGCAATGGCCTGAGTTCACGAATTTGAATCCTACATTATGTCCAGCACAGAGATACCAAGTTTGGTACAGTCAT